TCGGGCAGGAGGAAACTCCCCCGCCCCTGCACCAGGATTATTTTTTTTTCCGGGCGGAGGGATATCACGGGGTTAATACAAAAGAGAGCGCGCGAACAGCTGCCCTTGTAGTTGTGACCGAGCGCTCGGCGGCAACGAGCGCCAAGGATGAAAGTGTGCGGGTGTGGGGCACCCCCCCCCTCCCGGGCACCCATGGGTCCCCGCCCTTCTGAGGGATCCTTTATAAGTTTAGGGTGGACCCCCCACGCTATGAGTCCCCCCCCCACCCACTTTGAATGCACCTCATGGCTGTGTCTAGACTGGCCAGTTTTTCTGGAAAATCAGCCACTTTTCTGGAAAAACTTGCCAGCCGTCTACACTGGCCGCTTGAATTTCGGTAAACGCACGTAAGATTGTCAGTGCTTTTGCGGAAATACTATGCTGCTCCTGTTCAGGCAAAAGTCCTTTTGCGCAAAATGTTTGCGCAAGAGGGCCAGTGTAGACAGCTCAGATTTGTTTTCCGCAAAGAAGCTTTTGCGGAAAAGCGTCCATGCCAATCTAGACGCTCTGTTCCAAAAATGCTTTTAAAGGAAAACTTTTCCGTTAAAAGCATTTCCGGAAAATCATGCCAGTCTAGACGTAGCCCATGAGACCCACAAGTGCACAAACCACCTGTCCCCCTTCATGCCTTCCTGGTCCCCAGGTGGGAAAATGCATTGAAACCAGCCCTGGTGACATCTAGTTGTAAAGGGGTACGAGTGGTACCCATACCACTGTCGTCCCCCCCCCTCCAATAATCAGGGCTGGTGCTCCCCAAGTGGAGATGCAGCGAGGGGTCCTGTGGCACCTTATAGACTAACCGAAGTATTGGAGCATAAGCTTCCGTGGGCAAAGACCCACTTCATCAGATGCCTGCCCACGAAAGCTTTGGAGATTCAGACTAACACGGCTACCCTTCTGATACTTGACACCAGCTATGTCTACACTTGCGTCTTCTTGCGCGAGTAATATGCAAATGAGGCTAAGCATTGAATATCGCCAAGCCTCATTTGCATAACTAATTAGCCGCCATTTTGCGGAAGAGGTTCTTGCACAAGACGGAGATGTCTACACTGCCCCTTCTTGCGCAAGAAAAACCCTCTTGTGCAATGCCGTTCTTCCTCTCAAGTAATAGGTGTAACGGCCTTGCACAAGAGGGTTTTTCTTGCGCAAGAAGGGGCAGTGTAGACAGCTCCGTCTTGCGCAAGAACCTCTTCTGCAAAAATGGTGGCTCATTAGTTATGCAAATGAGGCTCGGCCGCAAGAAAAACCCTCTTGCGCAATGCCGTTATTCCTGAAAATAATCAGCATAGCGGCATTGCACAAGAGGGTTTTTCTTGCGCAAGAAGGGTCAGTGCAGACAGCTCCTTCTGGCACAAGAGGCTCGTCTGCAAAAATGGCGGCTCATTAGGTATACAAATAAGACTCGGCGATATTCAATGCTTAGCCTCATTTGCATATTACTCGCACAAGAAGACGCGAGTGTAGACATAGCCACCAAGTGGAGATGACTCCTGATCCCAACCTAAAAAGTCGTACATGACCCATCGTGGGTACGGCAGGCAGAAAAATGCTGCAGCCTGAAATCCAAGACATTTTATGAGGATTTGTTAAACCAGGGGTGGGGAACCTTAGGCCTGGTGGCAGGATGCTGCCCTCTGCTTGCCAGGATCTGGCCTCTGGAGGATCATGGCCTCAGCTCAGCATTAGGGAGCCCACACTGGCCCTCCACCCCCCCGCTACTCCATGGCAAGGCTGGAGCCAGGCCCATATGCAACAATTTCTCTGGTGGAGGAGTGCTGTTTTTTTTTTTATAAACGTGGACCACAATTTTTAAAATACAAAGGAGTTCAAAATAAGACAAGAAGCAATGGGCTTAAACTGCAGCAAGGGAGATTTAGGTTGGACATTAGGAAAAACTTCCTATCAGGGTGGCTAAACACTGGAATAAATTGCCTAAGGAGATTGTTGAATCGCCATCACTGGTAGGGTTGCCAGATGGTTTCAACAAAAATACCGGACACACTTGACATTACATCGCAATCTACATTACATCTTATTTAGAAAATACCAGACGTTTATATTTTCTCATTTATATTTTTTCCATTTGTTTCCCAAACAGACAGCTCAAATACTGGACTGCCCAGTTCAAAACCAGATACCTGA